ATGAATCATGTAGAGAAATATTGCAAAAAAAATGTTGAAGCGAAAATGATAGCAAAATAAATGTGAAAACAAAAAAAAGCAGAAAAGGCCGAAAAAAATGTCGAAAAGTTGAAAGATACTTAGAACGACCCGAAAATAGCGACGAAGGCGCTTTACTTCCCCATAAAAATCAGGAGAAGACTTTTTCTCATGCAGTGGTAGTAAAAGCAGTGCTCTGTGCTTCTATTGTATTTGATCATTCGTCAATATTATAACAATGCAATTTCGATAACTGTTTCTTATCAAATGTGACGATAACATCAGATTGTATTACCTTTCATGTTTATTTTCTTTTTACTTTTCTCTTCTCTTTCCTTCTGCTATTTCTCGTCTAGATGATTGCCTATCAATATGCACATGCATATACCTATCCAAGTGAAAAGCATGTTCATATAGCTTTACATCCAGAAAAGAAAAATATCGATAAGTAGAATTCTATTCATCGGTTTTGATAATTTTTTCTTGCGTTGCTGATTTGAAAGTGGTCATTCATGTTATGTTCTAATTTTAGTACACTTGTGTTGAGGGTAAATCATGCGTTCGAATATGTAGCACATAGTCTTGTTTATTTTCTTTAAATCAAAAAATCACTACTGTTAGTATATCAAGGTGCATATATATAACACCAAAAGAAAACAAAAAGAGAAAGAAAAGATGCACATATACATATGATATAGAAGGTATATTATAACACTGTTCCATCGAAAATAAAATTTCAATAAAATAGAAAACCTTTTTTATATGAATGTAATGGTCTATCTCAAAGAATCAACAATAACAAAATACAATAGGAGGTAGAGAAAAGAAAGAAGCATCGAACAAAATAGTGTTTTAGCATAAAGATAAAGATGAAAAAATATCCCAACTAAAATAATGGAATGTTTAAATGAAAGAAGAAAAACATGTTTGACATAAAATAACATGAAAAGTCAAAAAAGAAAAAAAAATATATGATAATCGTTCAATGAATAATCGTATCATATTTAGATACTAATATACTTGTGAATGTTGAATAGAAATCAGCGATACTTTTTTCATCATAAATTTTTAATCGGGATTCAATATTAAACGATAAAGATAACGTTCGATAAGAACAATAATTAAATAAATAGGATTTAATGAATAATCATATAAGCTGTTAAAGTCGATGTAGCAATAATATAGTTGATTAACATGGTAAATATATAAGCGCATTTTAATAAAAAAAATCATTTCCTTTTTAATTACATCTGTTTGATCAATATAAATAATATGAAATTTTTGTAAAAAGACTAGTATATGATGAATGTTATTAACATGAACACAATTAACAAGTCGAGTTGTTTCGTCTATAAGACAATAAATAGGATGTTGCTTTTTAATAATTACTTTAAATGCAACAGAATATCTAGAATCAAGTTTGGATCTATAATCATGAAATTTGATTAAGACTTGCTCACAAATTGCATAAATAGGATCATAACGATGTTTATTATAATGATTTCTATATTTCAATTGTTCATGAATAATATTATTACGAGCAGTATGATGAATAATTTATAAACTTTTCTTTATTTTGGTAACATCATCGATCAGTTAATGAAATACTTAAGTGCAGGGTGGTTTATCTATAGGTAAACGAGGTTCACGACCAAATTGTAGTTGAAAAGGTGAATATTGTGTAGTTCAATGTATGTCAGTGTTATATGCAGAAACCACTGGTAATCAATATTCATCCCTATTATTAATTTCATAATTATGAGCTTTCGCTAATTGAGGTACAAATGCTGCATAAAAGTATTCAGCCATTCTATTACTTTGTGGATGGTAAACAACAGAGATGGGGTCGGTTAGCATTTTTTTCTAACCGAATCAAACCATAAAAATCCCTAATCGAACTGACCGTAACCGACTGAATTTTTTAAAAACTTCCAACTGAATCGTATATTAATTCGATCAAAGATTAAATTATGCAAATTTCGTTTCAAAGGTTTTTGTTTAAAATTCATTAGCCAGAAGAATATTAAATTATCACTTGAAACTATGTTTTGCTTTTATTTTTTTATTAAAAAATGGATGTTCATCAGTGACAGATACTCAATCATTTCAACAATAATTAACTCTAAGAAGTTAATAATATGAATATAATTGTTTTTTTCTAAGGCCTCTCATCAGTATTCAGGTAAGTTCATACTGAGTTACTTATGAAAGCTACAAATGAATGTGACTGATTCATGCTCGTAGCATTCGGTAGTGTATACTTAAAAATTTGACGCTTGATCTCATTCAGTGAATGCTTAGTGTCGAAATAGGGTGTGAGTGAAGGTATGGTTTAACTAAAATCCACACCTTATCTACATTCATACCCTTCACATTCTCTAAAGAAGTCAATTAAACCACGTCGTCCTTGATTGTCAAATATTGTTGTAAGAGCAGCACCACCAAGTACTGAACGAGAAGCATGATACTTTGATTTGCTTAAGATACTCCTGTAACGAAAAGTACATTTAGCTATAGTATAAATAGTAGATAGAAGAGAAAAATTAGGCCGAGCACTTATCAAATGATAGAATTCAATGACTCATGAGAGTTTTCAGTAATTGTACGTAAACAATGAGATAATAATGATTTTGATGTTAACTTATCAATCATGGGTCGTAAAGCGTCTTCAAAAACTGGATCTAGATATTTCTGAATCTTCTTCTTTTTCCTGTTATGACTACGATTGTTTAATAATAATTTGTTTTTCTAATAGTAACACTAAATATCTTTTGTTTTTGGACAAAATTTATGTTGCTCCTTTTCATCACTATCTTCGGTTTTTATATTGATAAAATGCTGTTCCACAGTGCTGTTTCTTAATATCCAAAGCTACCGTTTATTGATTTATCTAAAATACACTTAAGAAGTGATTTGTCAGTTTTATCACAAACAGATAACTCATTAATAATACTTGCTATAGTACTCACCACAAGATAATGAGCTGACTTGCCTAATAGCAAGACCATGACTATCGGACAGTTTTTTCATCATTGAATCTGTTATACTTCCAATATTACCGTCCCATTTTTTACAATCATCTAATAGTTGTTGATGCATTGAATGTAACTTCTTGAATAATGGTAGGAAACTTTTTGTAATTGTTTTTAAAATAAAAATTCTTCGAGCTTCCTCTCGTTTCAGTTCTAATAAGAGCTTCATAACTCGTTTTCTAACATGATTTATAAAATCTTCTTTTATCACCATTAAATCATGCGGATTATTGGCAAAAATTTCATTAACATGATCACTATCGTTTTTGTCTCCTATATCAGCTTCATCTTTCTCACCACTTGTATCTTCAATTGGTTATTTAATATCACGCCCATCTTTCTAACCATTTGTAGCTGTATCTTTGTTCTTTGATATAGTCGTCTCTTTTGCTGCTAAATCTGTTTGTTGTCGTTGAACATAATGTTGCTTTACTGTTTCATAAGCAGAGGCATTACCATCGCACATCATATTTCTATATTGAAGACCATTAATAATGAAGCTTTGAAATATTCTAATTGTTCCTTATTTTTCCATGGATTTAGATGTTCCATCATAGTTTTTATGACAAAATGGTTGATGTTCTTTAAATCATTTCCTGAATTGATTGGCAGTTAAGTGTGATTTTTCATGTTATATGTCGAACAAAGGGTGTGGACGTGTAGATGTGTGAATAATGTATTTTTCAATCGAAAGTTACATCCACATTCCACACTCAAGTGTTGGATAACAATATGGATGCTACTGTTCAAATATCAAATATCATTCTCTGTCCAACTCTAGATATTGGAAGAATATAAAAAATTGAAATGGTTTAGAAACTTATAAAATATCATATATATAATCAAAATTTATTACATACTTTTTACCTAATGCTATTTACTTCTTTCTTATTGTTGCTAACCTAAATAGAAAAACTAAAGAATAAAAAATATATGTTACTCAAAACAGTAAATAGAAAGATGAAAGACTGATGCCATAGGATGTGGGGTGTGGGTGTGAGTAGAATGTCTACTAATACTCACGCTCACATCCACATTCACACCTTCATCGAAAGTACAATATTGATCACGTGTATTTTGATAATTAACTTTGACTGATAAAACTGTAAAGCATCAGTATTTGTCACATTGCTATCCGCTGCATGTATTCAATGGCAGGAAAAGTTATATTAAGCTAACTTTATTAATTTGTTTTTTCTCGTAGTTGCAAATTTTTTATATTTGCTAGCATATGTCGTAACGAAGAATGAGTTGCAAAATGTTCTTCCGATCAATTATTGATAAAGCAAGTTTTTCCGGAAGAAAATAAATAGCACATAGTAAGTACAGCATCAATAATTGTACAATGTTAGATGCAGCTGTTTTGTTCTGCCCATTGGATGAGTATGGAATATTTTCTGTTGTATTCTATTTTGTCCTGAACTTGTATCAAGTTCGTGTGTAGTGTCTACAACTGTCAATCAACTACATATTATTTTGACAAAATTCTGGTTGAAAAAAAATAATTTCGGATTTTATGGAATACTAAAATGATGAAAAGGCAGTTTTCACAGAAATAGAGCTTGATTATTCCTAATTTTGATCAGATTCCAATTGTTATATATCTGTACCCAAGATCTAATTCAAGATCTTCGTACAAGATAATACGCTTATCCTGTACCTAAATTTTCAAGATCTGTTCACTTTTCTGTACCTAAGATCTTGACCAAGATCTTGCTTACAAGATGTTCGACTAGGGTAGTAATTTCGCGCAACTATGATTGTGTACATTAGAGTTAACAAGTTTCAATATTTGCGTTTTTATTTACAGATCTAATACGACGTGAAATATTAGGAGAAATGCTTATGTTTCTTATCGCTGGTTTTGAAACAACATCTACCGCCATGGCATGATCAATTCATCTTCTCAGCAAACATCGGGAAGTACAACAGAAGATTAAAGCAGAACTGATGGAGGAAGATGTTCATCATGATGTGATACTAAATCGTCTTGATTTACTTGTTTATTTGGATTGTGTTGTTAAAGAAATTTTACGTTTTTCTCCACCTTTGGATGGAGGGGCTCGAACATTAACTATGAATGATCGATTACCAAACAGTGGTATTCAATTGTATACAAGTGATCAAATAATTATTCCCATATGGATTCTTTCAAAAGACCCACGATATTGGTCGATCGATCCCGAACTAGTCTATTCAGAAAGATTTTGAGGTGACGACAAAAATCATAATCCTTATGCATTTATTGTAGCTAGACTAATGCAACATGTTACATTCATCGATGGTGGTCTCGAAGTGAATGTTGGTGGACATATTCAAGGCTTGACTGTCATGCCAAAATATATTGGCGTTAAAATTAAATTTGATTCTGAAATTTAAATAAAACTTTATTTTTAAGCGAGAACTACAATGTAACCACTTAATCAAGACGAAAGCAACTTCCTTCATCCTGCCAAGGTCTGGCTCTTTCCTTTATTTTTACGCTTAACATGAATAATATCAAATTCATAACGGTAAAGCTTGTATATGAGTGTCAAGATTCATAATAAATGAAATATATAGACTATACCTTCTTCATAACGATCAATTATCTATTTCTTCTGAAGGATAAATTAAACAAGGAAAAACGAATCAATGATCCGGTCGAAGTCTAACAAATGGAAGTGCAAACGGAAGAAGAGGAATGATATATTATTTAGGCACAAGAATTCGTGAAAACTCGAAGGTGAGGACGACGGGTATTGGGTGTGAGTCAACGTGAAGAGAGCATCTACACCCACACCCACAACCTCTTGTTTCTTCGAAAAACAAAATTTTCGACACTTTGCCATTAAAAAAATGAGTTTTGGTCAATTTAACAAAACTCTTTTGTTAGAAATCATAAAAGACAATATCGCTTGAAGAAGAAGTTGTTGCTTCATGATTTCTCTTCACTGTTTCAAATATTTTGTAATCAACATTTGATTACATTTATATAATGTGCATTGGAGACATTTGCTAGAATGACAATGATAATAATAGTTTATTCTGTCTGTTGCTAGGACAACGTTGATCAGATGATTTTAAAAAACAAGTAAATCTGTCACCTGGATGGATGTGCGTAACCACCCTTACATCCACATTCTTGGTACCGTCATTTGAAATCTTAAAAAGCTCATATATATCTCTTGAACCGATTGACTGTGAGAAATCAAATGGGAGAATTATTCAAACACAACATATATTTGTTTCAAGACAAAAAACCTTTCAGTGATAGGAATGATCTCATTCGAGAAACAATGATTAACAACTTTGCATTTTTACGTAGCTTTCTCTAATCATACATCAACAGTGCGACTTCTCAGATATTGGAGGTGCGATAATTGGAAGCAGCGTTCTATTCTATCTCATATGAACAAGTCTTCATGATGTAGTAATCGAAGACTGAGAACGTTGTCTTTTGTAAGAATGTTTTTCATTAGTATTCTTGTGTCGTTACTCTGTACATGAATTTTTATTTGAATATTGACTTGCGAAGTTTTTTTTTGTAAGTAAGAGAAAAAAATCATTATTGACAATCGAGAAAGTACCTCATTCGTCGATTGCTTCAAGAACTTTTATTGCTCAACTGAGAGAAACTACTTAAAGATACCATGTGCAAACACATTGTCGTTGCACAAAAATGACGTAAATAAAACATGTGCAGTAGTTAAGCTTTGTTTAGCTTCAGAGGGATGGTTCATGCAATGTACAGAACATACTTATCTCTCTTCAATGATAGGAAAGTGAGTTATGTACATCAACTGCAAATCAGTGCATCTCATTGAGTGAATATTGATTTGTTCTTTTAGTTGAAATAGTGAGTGAGCAACATTGTTTTAATTTACAGAAGAATCTATTTTGAGGAATCGGTTGTGTATGGAAAACAAAGTTTTTATTTGAAATACCTTGACGAAATTTTGTTCACAGTTAGATTTCTATCATTCATCCATTCACTTGTTCCGTGATAAAAGAGATAAATATGATTGAAATGTAGATGGTTGCAATATTTGTTCTATTCATTTCGACAGATGTGCTCAAATGAGGCACTGAGAGCATTTACTCACAAACTCACGTCGTGAATTGCCACATTTTCGTAAATTACATGATAGTGAAATTGTGGAATGTTGAATCCAAATATCGGATTTTCTGCAGATCTAATCAAATTCTCACCTTTGAACTTCGAAATGAAATCGTGTCGTGACACTAGAGAGTCCCAAATGTGTAGATTTTTTCATTTTCAGAACGATTAATCAATAGGTTTCCATGCTTTCTAGTTTAGAACAAGTGTTTTTATCGATAATCTCCGTTAGAACGAGTGTTAGAACATAGGCTGTGCTCGAACAATCCGTGATCTTAAATATACACCGCAATCCACTGAATTCGTATCAATAGTTCCGTGATCATAATGTCTGCTGAGCCCCTTTGAGTGTGAGGTAATAGACTTCTCTTTGATGATGCGAACACTCTCACAGAGACTCTTTGTCAATTTTTCAGTCATTATTTCCTCTCAGTTAAGGAACTTGATTGAATAATCGATGTGTTATTTCATTGTTTTTCGAAATTGTTGCTCTTGATTAATATTCTTTTGATCATTTTTCCTAAAGATCTTTGAAAACAATCTAAGCTTTTAGCAACAACTCATTTGATTTGCATGATTCCATAAAAATCAGAGAAATGACATCCAAGCAAAATTATATCATCGGAGAGGATAAAGGACTCATGGCATTTTCGCATTAGACTATTTCTTCTTGTATTGAGATTTCTCCTGGATATAATTGATTGTCGTTTTCAGATAATTCTCGCTCACTATAGTAGCTTCCCGAAAGTTTTATTCTATTTATAGCATGGATCAATTAGCTCTAGAAGGTGTTGACATATCTACATCATTGCATATGTTCGACAAGCAATCATCATCTAAAATTACTTTACGTGAAACAACAGAATGTTTCTATTTTCGTTTATTCAATATAAATCATTGAAAGAGCACTAATGAATATAAGACAGTTAATGATATTCTCTGAAAATTCATCGTGAACAGTCTTTTTAATAAACAGATTGTTATAACGATTTTCAATCAAAAGTCCATCATTAATATGAGTCTTGCAGAAAGAGATGTTCTTTTTAAACCTATGTGATTGTAATGAATTACACTTATTTCTGGAGAAATTACGTACATTAATAAAACCGAACAAATAGTTCGATTCAGAAGCACTCTTATAATTTGAGAACGGACAAAAAAAGATCTAGTTTGTCACCGATGTCTGGAAACGAACAATTGTTTGCGACGGATATTTAGATACATGAATGTCAGAAGAAAATGACATTCATTCAAACATTATCAACGCGATGAAAGGGGCACCATCACTACTAGAAAAAACATGAATTATTGAATGAATGATTTTGATAGCCTATAGAAAATTCTCTTGTAAACATTTATGACGAATTAACATAGATTCGATGCTTCCTTTTCCGAGTGACTAACTGTCCTAGATTCCTTATATCAGATGACTAATTGAATGATGTACAAATTACAATCACGCACAGAAAAGAGGCATTTGACTTCGCTCAAAAGACATCATATTTGACAAGAGGTTGAGGATTGTATTTTGTTTGAAAAAATCTGACGAGCGTTCTGTTTTTGATGATCCATCTGCTCTTGACATTATCCGAGTGCTCTTACAGGGCATTCGAATTATATACTATTTGAAGACGTCATATGAAAACTATACAGCAGATAATCAAGTCGTAACAGTGCATTTGAATAATTATATTGCGACTGAAGCATAATTGTGCAAGTATTCATTTTATTTTTTAACAGGCAAAGATGTCAGTGTACGAAATAGCTCTTCAAATTGGATTTTGAAGTCCAATCGTTCTGTTTTCAATCGGAGCTCCAGCAGCGTGTCTTAATGTGATAATATTTCTTGGTGTAAAAGCATTTCGTCGATCGCCATCGGCTTATTATGTTGTGGGACAATCAGTAGCCGACGTGAATATCTTATTGATTGCACTTTTACAAATAGTTCCATCGACGTCAATATTGGTTTCATCGATTGCTTGTAAGTTACTGGTCTTTTGCATTCAAATGACGCTGTCTGTTGCTATGAGTTTTCTTTGTTTATCTGCATTTGATCGTTGGGCATGCACGTCTCAATCGGCTCGAATACGTCGATTGAGTTCGATTCCTGTTGCTCGTTTTCTCTTTCCTATTCCATTTATTTTTTTGGTCACTTGTGAATGTTCCGTATCTCATGTACAGTGATCTTGTGCCACCAATATTTGCTTGTTGGTTTACGAATGTTCTCTTTATTCAAATAGGAGGTTTCGTTTTGTCACCCATCCTGACTATTATTCTTCCTCTAATTGTTTTAGCATTGTTTGGATTAATAACATATCGTAATATTCGTCTTGTAACTCATGTTCGCCAACAACCAAGTCAAACTCATCTGTCAACATGGGAACAACAAATGACAAGAATGATGTTAACTCAAACTCTTATAAGTATACTTTGCATACTTCCTCGAGCTGCTTTCAACATTTATGCGATTGCTACACTCGGAGAGAGTGAAACAAAAACCTTCGATCAAATGTCCATTGTACTTCTCATCAATCAGTTGACTGTTTCCATCGCTTCTATCAATTACGTTTCATTTTTTTACATATTTCTTCTTTCATCATCACGTTTCCGACATACGATTAAAATGTACTTGAAATGTCAATTCGTTGTGGAACACAATCAGATACGTCCAACAAACATACCCCTCACACTACCAACACTTACCGGATGTCAAACGAAAACATGTTGACGATTATCTATTAAAATGATCAATGTTTGAAAGACTTTCGTTTCTTAAATTTGCATCCCTTTAAATTCTAAAAAATAGAATTTTCCCTAAACGTTGTGTTATACCGTATTTTACTTGCTATCGAAATCTTTTCTTTAATTTCAATAAAGCCACATCAAACATGGACGGGTGTGCATGACGAGAAGATCGAATGCGATTGTCACTCACTCATTCATAACCACACCAATACTTTCATTCTCTCACTCAAAACCTTAATTATTTTGACATTGAAATTCATATGTATTTGAAGAAACATTAGCTGCATGAGTCCGGTGGCTGAAAACATTGAACTGTTAAACCGGTGTAAACTATAAAGTTAACTGCTTGATACAACTGCACCAAGCG